CTAGATTACATTAAACTAAGCTAAAACACACACATACAGTTCTGAAGAATGATGTTAACGGAGTTCTGAGGAAAGCCCAAAGTTTTAGCAAGATATTTGCTACAGTTCTTTTACTTGCAACCTGAGAAAATCACAAAGCAGAGATTTTCTTATCTTTACTGCTTAACTCAATTCACCAGTTCAGCACCTATTTCAGCAGATGGAAGACCTTGTTTGTACTTGCGTTTTTGGGTGACAGCTGAAAGCTGAATGGTTGCTCGTGGCTGCTGGAGGGAATTCCGTTGCTGATTGGCTGTTGATCTGGTGCCTGAATGACGTTTGGATGACATCTTTTTGGGAGAGCCCTCATTGGATTGGTTGGTTGCCGGGCTACGGAGGAGCCTCGGGGGGTTTTTCTGAGACAGTCTAAGTTTGCAAGACTTTAAGTTCTTTGAAGATCTCTGACGATCATGAAGTTTCAACTGAAGTGTTTGAGTTTTAGATGACCGATCGCTATGATGGTAAGCATGTGAGCACAAGTTGGAGTGCTCTTAACACTGCGAAAGGCGAAGAAGCAAGCAAGCACACTCGAGTCTGTCTTGCATTGGGTTTTTGATCCGCGGCATAAGTCCGTCCCATGACGCGATCTTCCAGTCGACTTCTTGCAAGGCGGAGCGTGCATACATTAACATGAGGCTTTAATTCATCATATTGAGGACACCATCTATAAAAGTTTTGTTAATCCTTCTATAAAGTTTCTTAAATGCAAGTATTGTACATACTATTAACGTTTACTTCATTTCAGAATTCTGCATTTGTCGTGCCCATTCGTTCAAGATTAAACTTCACATATTACACACATTTTAATAACCTTATTTCCTAAAAAAGGGTAATAAAACACTAATTAAAGTTGCACCGATTACATGAAACACGTCTAGCATATATAAGACATACAACATATTATTTGTGAATCTGGTTGTCCTGTTATGCACGTAAATGATTATCTGTTGAAATTGTCTGTTGTAAATTTCATGTCCCTTTGTCTGTGACAGGAGAAACGCGCGCTTTTCTGAAAGTAGTAAAAGGATGCGTCCCTTTTTTGGAATCCACGGGGGAAAGGGGAGGTGTCCTGAGGTCATGCCCATGCCACGAGTGTCGATCTGCCATCCTTCTGCTGGACAGGGAGCTCTTAATCTGTCGCTTTCTGTTTATCGGATTATCAATTTATGCGTTAAACGGTCATGGGGTCCGGGCGAGTCTGTCGCTGGAACATTTCCAGATACCATGTTCTTTGTTCTGTTGTTTATTAGCTGGTTTATTTATGCTGAAGCCGGTCAACGTTACACTGTCTGAAGACCCTTCAAGGACCAGATGTGCAGAGGGAGTTTCTTCTCTCCTGGTGATAGTTAGGGTTTAAGCAGTTCAGATCCCCCTAAGGGATAAGGACCAGGCCTTGACCGAAAGCAGGTCCAGACAATTAGGTGCCCTGTTGATCATTGATCTTCTTTACGACCACAGATAGCTGGGGAGGAGAGTCTTTAGTTTTTCCAGTGGAATGCGGAGATTCAATCGTTCATTTGTGCGATATTCGCAGAGGCCTTACATATCCTCCTTTAGCTCGGTGATGTTCCCGGTGTGAACATTGGCGGGCACTGGAACAAGAGGCAAAGAGAAAGAGAACAGGCACACACAAGATACAAACAACATCTCCATCACTAACTGAATCCTGGTGCAAGGCTTTGGTAATTTTGGACAATTGGGTTAGGAAGATGAGATAGGGGTGCATTGTTTAGGATTGTCTAGAATTGGGTCGTTTCGATTACTCTAACTGTCAGAGGTTCGACGAGGCGGTATAGGCGTAATCTCAATCAGGTTTGTTGAGTTCTCAGGTTCAGGTTCTTGGTCAGTTTTATCATGTCGGAACATGCGCGGAACGCCGGATGTGCACTTGTTGAAAGACTCTTGGATGGCGTTCACTCGCTTGTGGAGGAGGAAGGCAAGTGCCAGAGTCACAACATATCCTACAATAGTAGAAACGCAAAGCGCTGTGTCAGCGGCAGACCAAGACCGAATGATTGGCGTGCCAGCTGGCGGAAGGCGAGCGATAGCTTCTAGCTGTATCAACAGGAGTCAAATCAATAAGTTGCATTCCTTGCTCCTTGATCCTTTCTTCCAATTCTGGATCGAGGACGAAGGAATGCTGTTTGAAGAAGGGTGAGATTTCGAGTTCGGCCTGATACTCGTCATCGGTAAGGTGATACAATGCTAAATCGTCAATATGGAGGATCGAACCCTTAGGGGCATTGATCCATAAAGTCTGGTTGGGCAGGATAAAGCGCGTGGCAGTGTCGTGTCGATCGTAGGTGAGGGTAGCCGTACGCGCTGGGGTGTTGACTAGCCATCGGTTTCAACGATTTTAATGAAGGGTGTCAATCTCAATTTCAGGACCTGGATTTAGAGGAGAAAGGAATTATAGTGAGAGAGAGAGAGGAGGAGGAACTTTTTTTTTATTTTTTATATATAGCTATAAAGAAAAACACAAAGAGACACAAGGACACTGAATTAGGTTAGACAGCAAGGGAGAGTGTCACATATGTGGAACAACTCCTCTCTACTAGAGGTTGGTCCTAGCAGTGCGGCGGAGGAGAGTGTGTAGGTGTTGTTTTTAAGAAGGGTAGCTATATGTCTTTCTAGAATGACATAAATTATGTTAGTGTGGTGTAGAGTATGAGATTGGCAGTCTGTGTCAGTTGGTTTGATCTTCCCCCTTTTCCTGTTGGTTGGAGCCCTGGTGCCTCTTTATCTGGTTTCGATGGACCCATCGAAGGACTGGCTCGCTGCGCCCTTGGCTGATTTTGATTCGATAGGCAACAGGTGAGAGCTTGTCCACAATCTCATGGGGTCCTGTCCAGTGAGGTAGGAATTTCTTTGACAGGCAATGGGGAGCGTTCTGCCTTGGTTGGGCGAAGCTGTAGTACCATACTTTGTCTCCGACATTAAGTTCCTGGTGAGAGGCCTTTTGGTCATAGTAGGCTTTTTGACCTTCCGCACTTCTTTGGAGTTGTTGTTGCGTGAAGGCGAAAGCTGTTCTCAGGTGTTGATGCAACTCCTCCAGGTACTGGTGAGTGGTATAAGCGGTGACGAGGTTCAGGTCACCAGGTTGGTACAGCAGGTGTAACGGTAGTGTCATTTGTCGCCCCGTCATCATCTCGAATGGGGGTACTCCGGTAGACCGGTGAGGGGTGGCCCTGACGGCCATCAGTACCAGAGGAAGCTTAATATCCCAATCCTTTTGATTGGCGGACACATACTTCTTCAACATGCTGCCCACTGTCCTATTGCCTCGTTCCACTTGGCCTGAGGAAATTGGGTGATGGCTTATATGGAGCTTGGCCTGTATACCCAATAGTTTCCACACTTCCTGCATGACTTCGGCGGTGAAGTGGGTTCCTCGGTCAGAGTTGACCCTTAAAGGCAGTCCGAACCTTGAGAAGATGTGGTTCATCAAAAGGCAGGCTATCGTTTCTGCTGTATCGTTGGGAGCTGGGAGACACTCTACCCACTTTGTGAATTCGCAAACCACGGTGAAGAAGTATTTGTTACCCCATGTTGACCGTGGTAGGGGTCCCACCCAATCTATTTGGAGGTCCGACCATGGGAAGGTCATTCCTTTCCGTTGCAGTGGTGCTCGGTGGTTTGGGTTTGCCGGTTGGAACTGGCAACACACCAGGCATCCTTTTACATACTCCGCCACGTCTTGCTGCATGCCAGGCCAGTATGCTACTTGCTTGAGCGCTTCGTAGGTGGCCTTGGTGCCATGGTGTCCAGCGCATGGTGAATCGTGGGCATGTGTCAGCGTTATCCCCCTTTGGCCCTGAGGGACTACAAGCTTTGGCACAGTGAGGGGCTCAGGGACATAGGACAACAACCAATGGTAACGCTTTAGATTACAACCCGTCTTTGAGATGCAGCATGTGCTTGATAGAGTTGAGTGTGCGGAGATCATAGGAAGTGGCTAGGTCGGCAGTGGGAATGGGATGAGTTAATGGGTCTGAAAGGTGAGCTGCAATAGTTTGCAGTGTTGGATCCGTAGCTTGAAGGGTGAGGAGATCATTAATCCATTCTGCTTCCATCCAGCTAGATGGCATGTGAAGCTTAGAAATTGTAGGGTGATGAGGATGGCCGCAATTTCTGCATATTGCAATGAGTGAGGGCCTAATTTGAATTGTTGCGGCGGGCAAGGGTCATTGTTGAGCCAGACCACTCCCGCTCCAGCTTTCAAGTTGCTCTGTTGGTTGTAGGAGCAGCCATCGACATGTGCTCTGGGCATCCCTTCACACACATTCTCCTCGAAGTGCCTGTGGTTTGTCAGTTGTGGCGGTAATGGTTCTTTGGGTTCTGCTGCTGTGTGCAGCGTGTCCGTTGACAGTGCAAAGCAAAGCATTCTGGGAGAAGCAGTGTTTTGCTGGCATAGGCGACCACTTGCTTGTCTTTGTCATGGAGCTGGTACAGGCCTGCACTGAGGCAGTGACTGGAGAATCCAGCGTCCAGATAGAATTCCTTTCCTGGGTCTGGGTAGGCCAGGCATTGTGCAGCACACATACATTGTTTGAGCTTGCTCATAGCCATGTCCTGGGCTTCCGACCAGACGAAGGGTTCGTCCTTTCTCAGGAGGGGGGTTAGTGGTCATGCGATGTCAGCGTAGTTTTCAATGAACTGTCGTGAGTAATTGCACACTCCCAGAAAGCTTCATAGCTCAGAAATGTTAGTGGGTGTCTTTATGTTTTGGATTGCTTGGGTGCGACTGGACTGTGGTTCGATGCATTCTCGTCCAACCGACGTATTTAACTTTGGTTTTGCACCATTGTCCTTTGTGGAGGGCGATCTTTGCTCCTGCTGTTGTCAGCTGGTTCAGGACGTGATCGATTTCTTTGAGGTGGTCTGCCACATTTGAGCTTTTCAAACACACATCATCCACGTATAGAGGTTGCCTCTGGTTCTGGCATCAGGGCATGCTTTGTTCAGGAAGATGTTGAATTCAGCTGGTGAGTTGGCATAGCCAAAGGGACACCGTGTGAAGGTGTATTGTCGATTGGCAAAGGTGAATGCCAGCTTGTGTTGGTCATCAGGGTGGACAGGGATCGTCCAAAATCCAGAGGCGACGTCCATTGTGGAAAGGATCGTTGAGCCTTTGATTTTGGGAATCTCTTGGTCCAACTGGGTCATTGGCCATCGTGACAAGGGTACTTGCTGTTTCAACTTGCGATAGTCGATAGTGGGCCCGTTTGCCGTTGGGTTTCATGACTGGCCATATCGGAGCAGAGTGTGTGCTGTTACAGTGCCAGATGACCCCCTTTTCCAGCATGGAGTCAACAATTTCTTGCACTGTTTCTTTTGAGAAACAATCTGTGTCTTGAGACATGTGGGAGGCTCTGCTGTCCTTGATTCAATGCTCTGAATAGCTTCAGGCTGATGGCTAAGTTCTCCGCCCACAGGGCTAATGCTACGTCGGACATTGATGTGTCGTGGACATTTATGGCAGTCATGATTCGAAGGGGGCCTGAGTCTGAGTCTGAGTCAGGCGCCTGCAATGAGCAGAGGAAAGGGTCTAGGTTCTTACTGCTTGGAGTTGAGCTTGGCCCTGGCCCTGGTTTTGACATTGCATCATCAGTCAGTGAGTTGGCGGCGGTGTCTGTGGTTTGGCACTGCGACTCGTTGGGAGTCTACTGACTGGAAGAGTAGAGGCTCGCGGACTTGCATCCATATCTTTAGTTGCTTGAAGTCAATTAAGGGTTCAAAGCGATTAAGCAGGTCTTTTCCAATGAGGAGTGGATACGTGTTGAGTGGTGTGTCTTGAGACATGTGGGAGGCTCTGCTGTCTTTGTTTCAGTGCTCTGAATAGCTTCAGGCTGATAGCTGAGTTCTCCGACCACAGGGTTAATGCCGCGTCGGACACTGAGGTGTCGTGGACATTTATGGCAGTCATGATTCGAAGTGAGTCTGAGTCTGAGTCAGGCGCCTGCAATGAGCAGAGGAAAGGGTCTAGGTTCTTACTGCTTGGAGTTGAGCTTGGCCCTGGCCCTGGTTTTGACATTGCATCATCAGTCAGTGAGTTGGCGGCGGTGTCTGTGGTTTGGCACTGCGACTCGTTGGGAGTCTACTGACTGGAAGAGTAGAGGCTCGCGGACTTGCATCCATATCTTTAGTTGCTTGAAGTCAATTAAGGGTTCAAAGCGATTAAGCAGGTCTTTTCCAATGAGGAGTGGATACGTGTTGAGTGGTGTTACGTATACTGGGTGAACAAGGTCCATTGGTCCCACAGTTAGGTGAATTGGGGCAATATGTTTTAGTTGTAGGCCCGTGTGGGAACATGCTTGAAGGTTCAGCTCGCACCTTTGAAGTTTGAGGGTGCTATTAGACCTCTTTGTTCTTTCTTGGACTTCTTCAAGGAGTTCAGTTGACATTAGAGTGATGTCGGCTCCCGTGTCCAGGAGGGCTATGACTTTGATGTGGCGTTCGATGATGATGGAGAGGTAAAAATTTCTTGCTATACCTTTCTCGATGTGGTCGCCCAGAAGTTGAGGGATGGGAGTTTGGGATGAGACAGGTAGGATGTCAGGACTGATCTGGTGTTCGTCGGAGGAGTGGCAGATGACCAAGACAGCACTTTCAGGAACTTGAGTGGTTTCGTCAGCAGGTGTTTGTCGGACGCTGCTGTGATCTGACGCATCAGGTGTTGGGTCAGTTTCTGACTGTTTTGCAGGTTGTTCAGGTAGGACTTCTTGTCCGTCTGAAGTTATGGAGGTTACGGTTCTCTGAGAGTGAGGTGAAGGAGTGCTGTTCTTTGTGGCTGGTTGGGTCAGCTGGTCGCTGCCTTCTCTTCCGACTGCTAGTCAGGCTGACTCTGGTTTCTCTTTCTTTTCCCACTTCCGGT